TATTGCACCCGACCACGCTCCGCTCTGACTTTTATGAAAAATAGCTTTACAAACATTGTCAATAGTTTTATACTATGTTTTTATTTAAAATGAATATATTAATAATAAATACACTATATAGAAAACAGGTTAAATACAAAAAATAAATACAAAAACAGGTAAAATAGGTTTAAACTTAACGTGAGGGTTAACTGTAAAATTAGTTTTAAGCATATCTACGGTTTTATAAAATAAACAACCTTAGATTACAAACAGGCAAGCGGGTTCAAGGCTCGCCTGGAGGTAAATGGTAAGTCGTCACTCAATGTGACTCACGAGATCTAAGTCATTATAGTAATTGCTTTGAGAATAACAGCATAATCTCCCGATCCCAGTTGGTTGTTTCGTGTCAGAAATAGATCAGATCATAGGTCCGTGAGATTCACAATACTCTTGTCTATTTCCAGTGATAAATTGAACTCTATAACGTTTCATTACACATGTGTTAAATCCATAGATTCATAGTGAAGGTCCGCACGGGACCACCATATTGCACTTTCCGGTTTCCAGTTTGGAAAATTGAATGGAGCTTAATCTCCGCGCTTTGTCCGTCGCACTGCGTTTGTTTCTGTTTCCTTTCTAACGGGGTGTGGCGCGGACGGTTTCACGAAAGGAAAATTCCAATTTTCGTGTGCAGTTGTTTGACTAGTCATCTTTGTTTTATGTTATGAGATTGAGGGTCTCACCAACTGTGCATTAAATGCTTTGTGACTGTAATAACATAACGAAGATAAGATTGGAGATTTCAGGCGTTCACTTCCCGAACTAAAACGTTTGTAGATTCATCACAATATGCCACAAAAGTCTTGCTACATTTGCGCGTTTTGGTTAGCTTAGATCCTACGAATAACAAAAATTACCTTTGAGGGTCAGAGTTACCTACAACTATCTATTCAGTCCTGCGAGCAATTAAGATAAGAAGTCTTCTATACCGTGTTTTTAAAAACCAAAAGTTTACAAACCTGATACGAAATTAACAATTTTATAACAAATTCTAATGAAAAATAAATTTACTTTTGTTTTTCGCCAAACAATATGTTTCATTCTATAAAAAAATATATTTTTTCATTAGATTATAACTAACAGAAATAAATCTCGTAAATTTTGCCGTAAACTATGAATAAGAGCATGTATTAAAACCAATTGATTGTTTCAATATTTCCATTTTATTTTCATATAACAACTTAAGAGCAATAGTGATTACACGCAGCGAATATTTTATTATATTATGATCATGGCACCGGAAGTGAGGTTACGGTGAATGTACTGAAGGGGCGCTTACTTGGTGGGTCTTTGGTTGTTGGAGTCTCATTACACGAAGTGCAAGGATTAGCTTTTTGTAGAGTCTGCATAGATGAACAGGGCGATGGCGTTATCTTGGGAGGAGCCGGTTTAGTTTCTTTGGTAGACTTTGAAGATTCATTATGGCTGTTTAATGTTTTTTGAAAGCGTTTAATGGAGAGCCAAGAATCTCTCCTTTCTAGACGCGTGCTTGGAGCTTTCTTAACGTGCTTTTCATTAGTTCGTCGAGAGGGTTGGTCGGAGGAGTCTAATGGTGGGAGGAGTGTGATGTCATTGGAGGAAGAAGTAATAGTTACGTCGACGCGGACTCTTTCTGCTCCAGGTGGGACATGCAACTCTATGCTGCCGGCACTGTGAGTAGAGAGTGCGTTTCTCTTCTGATCCATTCGCGATACAATCCGACCTAGCCCTGCTTCATTTAACTGTGACTTGTCGGGAAATTTACCATTGTTTGATTCATTCTTCATTAAGGAAAGCAATGATGATGTATGGAAATGACGTTTTTTTGGATCGGTGTCTGTACAGTCTCTGGGGGATTTTTCTTTTATTTTGTCCATTATATTTGGTTTGCGGCAGCGCGGGGCCAGGGGGGCTCGTGACGTAGCAATTGCACATCGATCTTTCTTTTGGGGCTTACAAGAATTTAAATCAGTCTTTTTTGTGTTGTCATCTCGCCGCGCATCTTTGTCGCGGTTCAAACTTTTTAATATTCGTGCTGTGAATTCTCGAACCGGAGATGGATGCTTTCTTGGTTTTTCCTCAGAAGCAGATTGGTGACTGCGGTCGATTTCTACTAGTGTGGGCCGTCGGTGTGCGCAAGGGTTCAAATGGTCAGAATTTCGGATCCTGCAGGCGTCGTCCGGCACGAGTTCAACGCATCGGGGCGGTGGGGGCTGACGGTTTGGGCCACAATAAGCTGTTTGTTCTTTGGGACATCGAATGGCATAATCACGACCGTCAGTAGCACGTGCGCATTCTCTCTCTCCAGTGAGGCGGTACCCGCTTTTTTCTGTTAAAGATTTATTCTGACTTTGTTTCTGTGAGGCCTCTTGTTCATAATCACGGCGTCGTATCTCCTCTGCTTCAGCTAAGCGACGCCCCACGTGGTCGCGACTCTGTCCGCATCCAGCGTTGGTTGTGTCACAGCCCTTATGTGTATCACACATTTTAAGCATACTACTAGATGGAATTTTCGACGTTGTAGACTGCGTGTTTTTTTTCGCAAACTAAAAATCAATAATTAATTAAGTTTTTTGGTGAAGTACAGAAGAATGGCGAATACATACATTGTCACCATTAACTATTCAATTTGTACAAAGAGCCTACATTATTAAAGTTTATAAATTAGCCGTTTGCAACAGATGTGCATTGTACTACGGATAAACGATTTGCGAGCCTCAAAGAAACTATTTCGGAGCAAGTCCGAAGGTTACATAAGCCAGGGAAGCTGTAAGCTCAAGTAGTTCGATGGTATAAACGGAGGCTTCAAACTAATAGCCGTTTAACAGCTGGAGGTCAGAGGAAATGGGTGGAAGATTTAGAAAAACGGAAGGCTTCATTCCATCAGCTGAATGCCTATAAGGTGATGTAACCACTGATCCGTTTGTAAAAAGTTTAGAGTTGAAGGTAAAAATGGTACTGACCAGCTTAAAATCGATCTAGATAAATTTAGCTATCTAAGTGCTTATCTTACTTGTGCAGCATTATTGCAGGATCGTATAGTTGCTGACGGTGGTTCTGGACATGGTGGTCGTGAGCCGGTCGGTGGTGGACAACATACTACCTTGAGTCCTTCTTGGGCCACTGGGTCCCGACCACGGCACTTCGGGTGTGGTGGTGGCTTGCATTCTGGACACGGCGGTGGTAGTTGTTTGCCAGAGCATGTGTTGGAGTCATATCGGACCATATACGATGGCAGATACTGTAGCGGATAAATATATTTATATAGGAGCTTGGAATCCAGAAGTATCCTGCCTGTTCCTCAATCATAAATAAATAAATCAAGCGGCGCAGACGTCTCCTGGTAGGGCAGAAAGTCTCGCATAATTTAGCGGCCTCAATGATTATTGATATTTTTGATCACAAAAATGTCAATACAATAACTTAAAACCCTTTTATTAGCTTCATTACTGTCTATTTATATATCTAAGTAACGGAACCTTCAAAGTAATTTTCACTGACTTCAAATTATCTGTTTATTTACAAAATCTTCCCTAATCAAGAACTGATGGCACTGTCATTAACATCTTGACTGGGACACCGAAATAAAAAATATATTAAATTCCATTTTCAAGTTCGGTTTGCTATCAAGGCGTATTTTTAATTTTTTTAACTAACATTAGTTGACTATCCTTTAGCAAATTTTCTAGTAAAGTGTTTGATATATGGGCATGGATCCCGGGGTATCCCTGCCCTCGTTGTAGGCATGTGTTAGTCTAGTGACAGACACATAATTATATACATAATGACAATATACAAATTTGTATGGTAAAAATCTACCTCGATTACTATTCAAATATTACCTTTCCCAGTCTGATGGTTCTACGGAATGTGGTGGCTGGTATCATGATGCTGCGTGCAAGTCGCTGTTGCTCTAAAGCAGTTAATTGACTCTGGTTGGTCATGTAATCTAGAAGGTTTGGTATGTTAATAATAGAGTTGGCCATGGAATCGATTCATCAAATTTGCACTGTATGATCTATTTATTGGTCGTAGGCCGCGTTATGAGGCCACAGTGATAATTATTTTGGAAAAAAACTACTCTATGACCTAAATTTAAATGTGTTGTGTTAGGCGAGCATTTGTCTTTACGATATTACGGTACTTACGTTTCTATAGTCTTTCTATAGTTTCTATAGTTTCAGTAGTCGAAATATTAAGTTTAATCATGTTTGACACTCACATTGATCAGGCGAAACATTCAATTGTAACGTGTTTCATAGTACGAGTAACACTCGACGGACGGCCTCAAGTTGCCATGCGCGACTAATATGCCGCCGAAATAGTCAAGGCGCGGTAGCTACCTCTACGATATCACAATACGTCCTGCTACCAGGAAAGTTGTAGTGTCTATAGCTCTGGTAGCCGATTAACAGCAGATGGACCATGAGCTCATTTGCCTGTCATTGTACTTGTGTGAGATGTGGTGCTGGAGAATGATGCTCCGTATTCCGTGGGCAGCATTTCAGACTAACGTGTCAATTTAGCGAGAATTCAAAATCTCCTCGCGGCTGTCATCAGAGTGTCTTCGCAGAGTCCTTGAATACTTCGGTCACATTGCAAGGAAGAATGGTAACAACCTCGAGAGGCTCATCGCGACCGGTAAAGTGGATGGGAAAAGTCTTCAGGGGCGCAGTCCGGTCCTTGGTCAGACCAGATCCGCACCGCTCTTGATTCCATACTTCACAACACCCACCACACCGCCAGAAACAAGTTTGATACAGAAGGGTGGTTACGACCTTCAGCAGTGAGAAATACGACGCAAGGAGAAGTACCTATGTCATAGACAGTGTACCTTACACTTGCTGTAGTGCGCTACTTGTCAATGAGCTTCCCGTTATGTACCGACCTCGGGTATTAAAACAAAGTTATGAATAACAACAAAATAATAATTAGGAAATGAAACGAATTTAATGATAAATATCACATTATGGATCATATTTTTTCAAGTCAACAGTCCAATTTAATGTTCAATGATCATCACATAAGTATTTCGAAAGATCAGTATGTATCTGGTGCGCTCTGTATTGTTGCTCGATTCCGCCACATCTGTGCACAATTCAATCAGGTCGTTATTACCAGGTTAGAATATGAGGTTGTAGGAGACCAAAGAAATCAGGTATAGCTACTGACACGGACATGGGGTTTATTTCAGTAAATATAAAATGTAAATAACAAACGCGGGATTAAATAATATTTATTTATTTATTTAAGCCGGCACATGCCTCTAGTGCTACTTATGTACGTCTGTACGTATTTGATTAAATAAATTACCTAGTTTTTTATTGCACTTGTAGGCAGACGAGCATAAGGGCCACTTGATAGTAAGTGATTACCGTCGTTCATGGACGTCAGCACTGCTAGGGGCAGAGTCAAGCCGCAGCCTACCGATTGACTTCTAATATTTACGATACTCGATTAGTTTATTTTTGGAAAACTTTGTAAACAAAAATGTACCGGAACAATAAGGAAATCATGTTTATAAATAATTTTACTAAATAATGTCTATTAGTTCCAGTGAAACAAAACTCAAATAACCTAACTCGTCCTGTTTAGTACTAATGTAACAGTCGGTACTAACGAGTAGCATTAAGTTATCACATATCCACATACATGTACGGTGTCTCCGGCCACGACGAGGAGTGCGGGCGCGGGGTGCGCGGGGAGGAGTGCGGGCGCGGGGCGCGCGGGGAGGAGCGCGGCGACGGCGGGGGCGGGCGCGCGGAGCGGCGGCTGCGCGTGCGAGCGACACGTCGTGGACCAGACGTGCACGGCGCCTGACAGCGACCCCGCTGGGCTGCAGATGGTAGTCATCAGTAGAACAATGGGCTTTCCTATTTCCCTCTTAAAATAATTAAATCAATTCACTAGGTCAATAACTGTCGTATGAACACACGATTGTTTTGCGGTAGAAGCATAATTCACGAAAATGCTAAATTGAGGAAATGAGGAATTGAATTACGGCCGCACGGGCGGAGGACTCGCTTTGCTCGTCACAGCCCACCATGTTGCCCGAATAATTTGCACTTGCAGTCGACGTTTTTCGATTTTCCGCTTTATTGCAGAAAAGGTATATCCCCAGGGGCTAATCTCTATGCATAAACATTATTTTGATTCCATATTTTTCTATAAGTACATTTATTTTTTATTTGAGAAGAAATGCAATAGCTGATTAATACTATTGCTTTTGCTAAATAGATCTACAAACATGTGCGAATTGAACAAGGGACACTCGCTACTATTACCGGAGAATTTAGTAATTTTTAGATACACTTAAAAAGCTATCTAATATGGACATGTTAAGGTAAAATATGTTTGCCGCGCTTTTCTTGATACCGCTATTTCGCAAGTACTGCATTCGCTAGAAGGCAGATACCAGAACCCTCGGAGACAACAACGTCAAAGTTATCTTACAATTTCAATCTTTTCAAGTTGCGTGAATTTGTTATTCGAATAAAATAATAAAGTTAGTTACGTGGCAACATAGTGTGTTGAGGCAGCTGGTTGGACGTAGTGGGAGAATGAATCAGTATGAAGCGTTAGTTGCGCGGGTATCAGGACCTGCAGTGGTTCCAATGTCGGTATATGTACGCAATACACAGCTCCGCTACTGGTGGTTACCCATACGCATTTCCTCCTGGAAATGAAAAGTCTTTGTATTAAACTTACTGGTGGTAGGACCTCATGTGAGTCCGCACGGGTAGGTACCACCACCCCTGCCTATTTCTGCCGTGAAGCAGTAATGCGTTTCAGTTTGAAGGGTGGGGCAGCCGTTGTATCTATAGTTGAGACCTTAGAACTTATATCTCAAGGTGGGTGGCGCATTTACGTGGTAGAGGTCTAGATGCTCCAGTAATCACTCAGCACCAGGTGGGCTGTGAACTCGTCCACCCATCTAAGCAATAAAAAAAATGGGAGTGCAGCAATACATTCTGTAACTATTTAATTTATTAGAGATGTTTTTTATTGCCCTTGTAGGCAGACGAGCATACGGCCCACCTGAGGGTGAGTGGTTATCATCGCCCATGGACTTCAGCAATACCAGAGGCAGAGCCAAGCCGCTGCCTACCGCTTAATACTTTCCACAAGCCTCGTTTGAAGAAGGACATGTCATAGCGCTCGGGAAACACCGTGGAGGGGAGCTCATTCCATAGCCGGATGGTACGTGGCAAAAAAGATCTCTGGAAACGCACTGCGGATGACCGCAGCGGCTCCAGGTAATATGGATGAACTCTACTCCGGTGGCGGGCGGTGCGATGGTAAAAACGAGATGCCGGTATCGTCTCGAACAATTTTTTAACAAGCTTTTAAAGTGCGGTGTTTGTTCACGGGTCTGTCATATTAAGTTCGTTGAAACTTTAGTGTAATGTGGCCATAGGTATTTTTTTCTTAAACTCCGGAAATTCGAGATAAATAAATACTTAGCCAAGGAATCATTAGAATGTGAGATTAATTTGTATTTGAAATATAAGGTATACCACAATCTAACTATTCTAAAGACCGAAAACGGTAATAACACCTATCATGAACTTGAGCCGTGAAGTGAATCGTGAAACTGTAATCACAAAGTGAATTGTAAATATAATTGGGCATTCACCCTGGATGTTCCACGATGCCGAGAGGTCTCGAACATAGATCACAAGTGGCCTTTGGGGGGTCACAAAGTGCCCTCAGCTCTTCTTCGGTGGGCGGAGGCGGGTCGGGGGGCGGGTCGCGGCGCTGCTCTCTCCGGGCCGCAAACCGGTCCGCAAGTCCACCTCCGCTGCGCGCCTCTACTCGTTTCAATGATGTCGGTATGCTCCAAGCACTCAGTCCTCCACGGTTCTTATTGCCCCACGAGGCCAAAAGCAAACGCTGATCAGACTGTTCCTAAAAGATTTTATGGCTATTGTAGATATACTGGTAGACATTTCATCTTCGAAGTTGGGAAAAGTAAGACACCCATTATATCAAAACATTCGAAAGTTGAACGCATTATTTGCGTGGCAGGGGTATACAAATTTAAATGTGATATCCTGAGCCGGAGGTTGTAACTGCCACAAAAACAGGAAGAATGATAGTCCCTTTGGGACCTAATGACCTAGTTTTCATTTCAGAATTACTTACAGATACAAAATGTCCAGAGTACCAGCGTGTGGCGTGCACGTAAGTAACTCCTCTGCTTGTAGATGGCACCATATCATCCGAAGAATCGTCCATCACTAGTGTTTGTCTGAAAAATACTCAAAATAATTTTTGTCGATATTTCTTTGAATAGAGTGTTTCTCTGAGGGTATTTATAATAGCTAGGGTATGTCGGGGTAGGTAAGATTTGTTGGAGTCTTTCAACCTAGAGAATTCATAGTTACGGGTAAAGTGGAGGGAAGACGATCCTGAGGTGGTGGATCTTACTGGTGGTAGGACCTCTTGTGCGTCCGCGCGGGTAGATACCACCACCCTGCCTATAATTCCTGCCGCGAAGCAGTCAGTTGCAGTTTGAGAGGCGGGCTAGTAGCCTAATACAATTGTGTCTTCGACCTCAAGACGAATGGCGGTAGTCTCATGATGTCTATTGGGTTAGGTAACCACTTAATCTGCGGAAGAATTTTGATTCCCGCGGCCCAGCGCGCACGTTTGGGGAGACACCGGGGTGGTTTTAGCCGGTAGGAGTCCGGCACGCCCCTCCGCCTTTCCCCAGGCGGAGGTAGTCCATGAGGATATCACCCCGAAAAAAATAAAATAAAGTAACCACTTAATAACCGGGGCCGTGAAGAACCGAGCTTCGTCAGTCTATAAACATAGATTTTTCTTTTTCAATAAAGTACATTGCCTAGTGCCTTTGATGGAAACCTATTGAGATGAATTTATAATTAAATTTATGATATGATTGAATTTATGCAAATTAGGTTTTGTGTTAGTCGATTCAACTCACTCACAAAACATGGGCGTTATCTTCATTAAATATGCGCAGTAGTCGCGTCCGCACGCCCGTGTACTCTGAATCAGTTTCCTGCGTCAATACAGGTATCTGACGTTAACCAGGTAAAACTAATATATGTAGCGCGTAAGGTGTAATCCAACTATGACATAGATCCTAGGAGGTGTTAGCTCCCATCGTCTCGCCACTAGTGGCGTAATGAGCGAGAGGAAGAACTTACGGTATAAAACAACAAAAGTGAAGATTTTCACTTCACAAAAATTGAATCTTATAACCTATATTTTTACATCAAAGTTTGAGTTTTAGTAATTTACCTGAGTGGCAGCATTAAGCCATACAGTGGTGTAGGATAATCCCGGAGTCAAAAGCGCAGGCTCCAAGGAGAGGAAGCAGCTGCCATCGGACCGCGCCCAGCACCCAGCCGCTCCAGCCCCGCACCGAGCTCGGCTTTTCATGTGCCCCTTGCACTGCTCTACGATATGTTAATTTAGGAATCACTATGATAAATAATAATGTCATGATGCAGAGCAAGCGACTTTGGCTTAATAACTTAAGTAACCTCTTACTCCGAGACAGGAACACGAACATGATAGAATATTTTTACTGGTGGTAGGACCTCATGTGAGTCCGCACGGGTAGGTACCACCACCCTGCCTATTTCTGCCGTGAAGCAGTAATGCGTTTCGGTTTGAAGGGTGGGGCAGCCGTTGTAACTATACTTGAGACCTTAGAACTTATATTTCAAGGTGGGTGGCGCATTTATGTCGTAGATGTCTATGGACTCCAGTAACCACTTAACACCAGCCGGGCTGTGAGCTCGTCCACCCATCTAAGCAATGAAAAAAAAAGGAATACCATGACCACAAATATTAGTACAACTGACTGGTAGTCGAATCAGCATCCCAAGGTTCAATAGCGAGAGTTAATCATGTAACTATACCGTGCCTTGAACCTTGGGCATGCCAATGTTTCAAAGGAAGCATGTTGCCCAAAATTTTCTTTGTCCATAAGCGTGCGAACGCATATTAGTGGAACAGAATTAAAGTAAAATATAACAGCAACATATGTAGCTAAATTATTATGCTAACGAAGATTGAAACTGCACTTTCTACTAGTATCACTGTCCAATTCATTGTCAGAAAAACAGTTGGAAGAAATTCTTCTATTGATCTCTAAACAGAGACTATTTTGCGGTCATTTCTGCCTGCCAGTCACTGTTTTGGCTAGTTCCCCTGTTTCTCTTTATTTCGAGCAGCTCATCAACAGAGTGTTTCAGTTTGTGACAGAATCAGCATTATCCCAAAGGAGGTGCAGGCTGCTGTGGCAATGTAAGAGCATTACAAACCATCAAAATCAAAGACGAGCAGTTCCCAGCGGGTAGCGACGTCGACCAGAGCGCAGGCCCCCGCCACTAGAAGCCGACTGCTGCATTCCGCCCAGTCAGATCGGGCTGCGCTTGCCCAGCCTCTCAATGCACCCAGGTCACATTGCCATGACTCTTTCCATGCTTCTTCTAACAGCTCCCAAATCTGTTAATCGGTTATTAGTTAATTAAGCCCGAGATTTAATTTGAAATGAGGTATGAAGATTTTAATTTGAAGCAAAGTGTTTGATGTTGTCTTTCGATGTGTTACATCATCCTGCACATGGTGGATTGGCTAATGAATCCATCCAAGATAATTAAACTTTTAAGTTTGTTACTACGATGACAAAAACTTATGAAAGTATAGCTTTAATAATACTTACAAATAATGTAGCATCATCAGTGGTGATCGCCAACCGACTTCCGTCGGGTGACAAGGCCGCGTGTTGCAAGACATATCCGGAACCGACTTGCAGACCACCTACTGTGACCCACGGGGCATGTGCGTTCACGTACTCTTGCCGCCACTGCGAAGGATCTTGAACATTGATCGGAAGCTCTCATGATCAATCGAACATTGCGCGCAAGGCGTGTGTTCTCTCATACGAGAGAGAACAGGTACCAACCCTGTGATCCATTAAGCCAAATGAATCAGATGCCCGGTGTGGACATGGCAGAAGGTAATACTTAGAAAGTATCGCGACGTCTCACGTTTTTGCGCTGTTGCGGGTCACAGTCTGTCCCGGCGGACACGGACCTTGATTTCGTGGCACGTTATGTGCGGTTTATGGATTTATTTTTGAACAAATATTAATCAGAAAGTCACAATAATATGTACGAAACATACTCTCATGAGGATAGATCATCATTCACTTAGGTATACGGGGATACGTACGAGTATATTGTTTACGGCTTTCAACTGATTAACAACGTTGATAATATCGATGGTTGTGTTTTAAAGTATCAAACATCTCTTGGTGTTGGAGGACGATTCTTATTTCATTAAAAACAGTATAAATTTTTTTGGAAGATAATAAATAGAATCACCTGTTATGACGTCACGCAGTGCTCGAGTGGCTTCCGTGTCAGCGGAGTTACAGCGCAGCAGCAGACGACGCCAGAGCGCCGGTTCTGAAGCCGAGCGACGCCAGAGCCTGCACACGGCTCCGACACGAGCCAGCTCTTCCCCCGACAACCAAGAGAATATTTCGTACAGGACCGATGCAGTGCATCCTTCGTCTAGTTGCCAAACTGACGTGTCTTCGTCGCAGCACATGGATAGCCCAATTAATTTGCACTTCACTGAACTACTTTCAGAATACGTAATTATCGAAACCAAATTTTTAATGTAATAAAACTATTTAAACACTGTTCACGAGTAAGAAAAATGTCACAAATGATGCTAGATTAAATTTATTAGAGTAATCACCAAACTTTTTATATTTTCAGTACCAATATGTATCCGTTAATATTTACAAAAATTGTCAATATGAAATAAGAACAAGAGCGGTGCGCTGTGGCGCTGATGCGGCGTGGTTGCCGGCTAAAAATATACGATTCATTCTGTTTGTCGAATGTAGTTCAACGCTTAATTTTAGAGTATATTGCAACGTGTTCTTACTGATATTATATTTAGTTTGCAGAGAAAATTTAAATATTATTTAAATTAACGGGTAACATTGATGAAAGGAGTACTATACCAGATGTTAAATTATTCTGAGGCAACGGTTCCACTTTCTTTGCTACTGATGACCTCACACAAGGTGGGTGGCGCATTTACGTTGTAGATGTCTATGGGCTCCAGTAACCACTTAACACCAAGTGGGCTGTGAGCTCGTCCACCCATCTAAGCAATAAAAAAAAAAACCTTGAAAAAGCGATGATATTTTGAATTAATGAAGAAATAATAACTACAGTGAACATTTAAAGATTATTTAAATTAAAAGTGATATTTAGTTTATACTGGTCCATATTTAAAAAAAGGTTAAAATCATAACTAACGTTTTTTAATCAATGTCTATTGCATATCCACACAAAAAACTTTTTTTAACTGAAATTACTGAAATTTGGTCACAGCATGACTAAAAATATTGTTTTGACAATTACGAATAAAACTAAAAATAAAAATAAATCATTTAAATTGATCTCGTCATTATTGAGCAATTTTATTTCTACTTAAATAGATAAGATTTTCATATGGAATTATTTTCAGAAACAGCTTGCAACGTGTGAAAATCTACTAAAATATGTGTCGCTAATCGACTCGGCTTTATGCACTATGAGCATTGACCAGCGACGATAATCATGAAAGACAAATACGAATCTACATGTTGCATGCGTTCCGTCATCGATAACCAGTAGCTAGCTTTCAATATACATGTCAATAAAAGCTTCTGTTACAGTTTGATTTTAGAATAAATTTATATTAAGGGAGAGGTTAAGACGGACAATTTAAGGAGCATCAGTTATAAATTAGGTAATCTAACAGATAAAACACGTCTCATGTTCATTACAAAAACTATGAATATTCTAGTAAACTGCCACAAACAAATAAAACCAGACATGCAGCAATCAAACTTAGCTTTGTTAATAATTCCAGGATATATTATTACAGAATATGTTTAAAACTAGTTGAGAAAAACTTTGAAAAGTCAAGTTACATCGCCGCTAATTCTTTCTTGACTGTGGCATTGTAGGTGGCTGTCACCGCACCAACGTCAAACGGACCCTCGTCACGGAGGGACCCTCGCGGTGACTTCTCCCCACCTTGTTTTAACTTCAGGCGAATCTCACGCATGCGACTTTCCAATATACGTTCCCTTTTGCCTTCACGATCGAACATCTAGTACAAAAACAAATTATGTTTAGATTCATCCTCCAGTTGTCTATTTTAAACGTCTACACGAAATAGGTGAATTGCGTTGAAACCATAGACGCTACCGAGTTGAAGAAGAACCAAACAAGGCAATGTATTATACATGACAACTCAAGGGTATTAAGCGTAATAAAGAATTCTCATCTAGGTTTCCATTGTTTTTGTGGCGACAGCATAGAGAAATACTGTAAGGCTATGATCAGCGTTACTTACTGCTGTGAGGAGTGTCTTATCATTTCTACTGGACTGGGTCAAGGCTGATGATAGCTCCACCATAAATATACTGCCCTTGGTGTTGCCGCATGCCACTAGACTGCCCTGTAAGATTACAACCACGAATGTAGACATGTGTCTATAAAAATAGCATATTGTATCGGTGGTAAAATGCTAAATTATGAAAATTAATATAGATGGCAGAGGACCTCACAGATCATGGAATATTAAAGTATTTTGTTCTAGTACAATAGTCTAATGAGTATTTTAGTTTGAGGAAGACTCTCCTGGTGTCTACAATAATAGAAATTGCATTGAATTGAATAACGGGCTTCCTACACTGCAATCATGCGTGTAACCGCTCGAGAAACTGTTAGGGCATGGACGCGTACCCACAACCTAATCAACTACCACCAGCTACAGACCGTCCATGAATTCTGCGGTTTCCGATTTTATTATTATTATATTATAATACTTTGTATTAATTGTATGTATATTTACGGAGATATGTATGTGTATATGTATGTGTACATATATGTATATGTATTTCACTGGAATGGTACACCGCGCGTAGTTCGTTTCCAAATGATTCTTGTCCACCTGATGGTTGTCTGGAAGAGATCGCTTTTAGCGATAAGACCGCCAATTGTACTTTTTGTTTTTAATGTATCGCACTGTTTATTTGTTTTTTTGGTGTACAATAAAGAATACTCTCTATTACAAAATGGTGCTTCTTCACCGTGAAAGTTATTTAGCGTCTACTTATTGGACTGAGAACTTTTCTGAAAGTACTCAATAAACTATTAATCTGATTTAAACTACACTAAAATTTAAATAAGCAAGTGCACTCGGGCTAGCCACGTGACATCCGCGCGAAAGGTTGCGGTTTCTCATTGGACTAGTACCAGTTGCTCATTTTGTTTTCTATAAACTCATAGACGCAACGCCACGTGTTTATGCGGCTTATCACGGGTAGGTAACAAGTTGCTAATGGACACGCCATTAGCACGAGAGTGTCGTTTGATTCATTTGCTGATCTGCTAGCGTAGGTCAGATCGTGTAATCAAAAAGCAGTACTCCTTCGTGAGCCTTTATTCTCAGCAGAGGCTCATTGCAGATATGCATGGTGAGGACGGGTTCGTGTTGACGCCGCAACAGGTCCCACGCAGCTAGTTTTCCGTTCCATTGCGTCAGCAGCATGAGAGACAGCCTGTTGGAGTGACAGTGTCATCATTTAAACTTATATACAACTGCATGTTATAACTGCGCTATTGTGTTTCAGTACCTGGTGGGACTCCAAGTGGCAGCAGTGATTTTGTGACGTTGAGGTGGAGACATTACTATAGAAGATTCACGGCAATCGTCACTCCAAACTCTGGCCGTCCAATCGCCTACAGTTAAGAAGTTCTTCAGGAAGCCTGGATTTCGTTCTAGAGACCAAACTGGACCTAAATGCGCTGAGAACTGTTCAACACAAACGCTAGTTTAGTAGGGGCTGTAATGAGGGGAGGGTGATGGGAGAGATGTGCTCCGCACTAATCGCTTCACTTTCCCCCCTTTGCCTTTTCATGAGTTGTCTCACGCGAGGCTCGGACGTGGGTTGCTGAGCGACAGGAGGTTTTAGTCAGTTCGACTCCGATATGCCCCGCCCTCCATCCCCAGTGGAGGGCGGAACTCCGGCGATTTTCTCTTGATATATAAAAAAAGGGGCTGTAATGAGGATTTATTCTACTTTACGTTAATTGAATAAGCATATTGTGGAGCATTGTAAAGGGGAATTTTTAGTTCTATGTACAAAAAATATTTAAATATTATTGTTTTAGTAGTAACGTTTTAATGAAACTCAACAGGTACACAGATTACGTAATCGTAATTGGTAGCCGTTTCTGATGGACCTTAGCAATGATAGTACAAAATGATAAGGATTTATCACATACCAATGCTGGCAGTTTTTCTGTCGGAGTCTTGCCTTTCCTGTTGCCCGTTATGACTAAGCCATTTTCAGTGCCCGCCATGAAACGACTCGGTATAGTTGGTTCGAATTCTAACACACTTATCCCATTCGCTTTGGCCATAGTCTGAGTTTCGAAGGAATATTTGACCACTTCCATTATCATCTCATCAGTGGTCTCGCTCATGTTACGGATATCCCACCACTTGACTGCCCCATCAGGTCCGGCTGAGAAAAACTCCTGACCTGATTTAGCATTAATGAAGAGAACATTTCGGACGAAATCTCGATGTGCAATGTGCGGTGGTGATAGGAGTAGGGGATTCCCAGCAATTCTTGCATCCCACACTCCCACTTGTCCACTGAGGAGGCCCCCGGCCATGATATGAGGCTCACGCTGATTATACTGCAGATCTAACAGAGCACAGGGAGGTGTAATTGTCAACTCTGGATGATTAGCATTGTCAACATCCCAAATGTAAGATTTTATATGGTCTTTTGGGTTCCGGTTCAAGTCCAAGTTTAAATAAGTGACGGCGAATCTTTGTCCACCCTCGGGCTGCCAGCAAATCGAGCTGATGGGGCGTTTGGGTCCAATACCCCCGCCGTCTCTGTACTGGTTGACTATGCGGCAGCTGTTCCGTTCCAAAGCCGGCATAGGACGCATCTCAGCGTAGTACGTCCTGTACATGTCGATGGCGTTGTTCTGCTGTACGTAGTGATCCATACCCTAAAAACATGCCTTATATTGAGATCGCACGTTACAAATGTCGCATATAATAAAGTCGCAGACTTACTGTCTGTGCAATCAATATGTTTACCAAAAAGCAACTGTTGGACATAGAGACATTAATCACTTAGGCTGAACGTCGATTTGTCGTTTGGTTGTTTGTATGCTTATCCGTAATATTGTACATGGACAGGCATGATGTGTTTTTAATACAGTAAAATACACATTGTAAATTACCGGCGCCAAAGCCATGACACAGTGCACGTAATTATCATCTTTCTCGACTTTACGTTTGTAACGTTGAGTTGCTTCAGGGTCTGTCACATTGACATCCTTGGGCCATCCTCCTTCAGAGTGGTTCGCGCCTGTTGTAGTGAACTCTGCCCTAAATGAGAAACTCAGTGTCTTAATTAATTTAGCGAGGCTTGATACCCCAAAAAAAGGTTTCTACTGCGGCGTAGACAGGGTACCAGTAGAAATATCCAAGAGCAAGCACTATGAGCCCTCATAACAAAAAATACTCAGATCTCGTGTCTCAGGGTGAGCAGAGGCATTCTCGTTGTGTTGTCTATAGGCTCTCATAATCGCTTTGCCTCGTCTCCGTTCGATCGTTGACCTGCTTGCTGCTATAGTAAGTGAAATCAATTCTCATTAGGAATTAATTACAATGAAAATATTTTGAATCGTTCATTGAAACATGAGCGTGAATACGTGCGTGCGTGCGTGCGTGCGTGCGTGCGTGCGTGCGTGCGTGCGTGCGTGCTTGTGTGTGTGTGTGTGTGTGTGTGTGTGTGCGCGCGCGCCTTGGCGTGGTATATACATACATACATATATAGTTACATATGTTTTAGACAAAGCGGAACAATACAAATAAATTAACGTTTATGTTTAACCGTCCCTAATCGCATCAAAAGCTTATAACTTTTTTTTATAAAATATTTAAATTACCGTATAGTATTGACATGGTGTTCAGCCCATATAGGTGTGTGTTGCGTTGGCTGGTGGACAGGGTTACGCAGGATGTACTGGCGACGCTCAGCAATATTTGCCGCTATATTATCGCACAGAACCGGTCCTTGTTCGCAAAACATTGGCTGTCGCCCATAGTTGCAGCGCTTTTTCGCATAGTGAAATGCGATATCCATCAGAACACAAATCACGAACCGAACTCTATGCAGATGTGTCAGTCGTCGTGAGGATGCTTAATGAGAGCGAGTCGTGCTTGATGCGAGAGCTTTATGGCCTCAGCTGATCTTCAGCAGTCTCACTGAGATGATCGTTAATAAGATATTAAGTACAATATAGAATCTTTCTGTTATGATTACCAATATCTGCGACTGAATTTTATTTTGACAATATTTTGAATGGACAACTGTCAATTATTTTAAATTTTAAATGGAATGTTTTATTTTGAAGGTATAGATTAGATTAATATAGCAGGGTCTGTCAATTGTAGTTCTGCAGTTACATAGCTGCGTGGGTGAGTATTAGAAAAGCTGTGCATCGGTCCTCTATTCCACATAAAAGAATTTATTGTTTTTATTGCTTAGGTGTGTGAGCTCACGGCCCACCTGGTATTAAGTGGTTACCGGAGCCCATAGACATCTACAACGTAAATGCCACCATCCACCTGAGTTCGAAGGTCTTAGTATAGCTACAACGGCTGCTCCACCCTTCAAACCGAAACGCATTACTGCTTCATGGCAGAAATAGGCAGGGTGGTGATACCTATCCGTGCGCACTCACAAGAGGTCCTACCACCAGTGATTACGCAAATTATAATTTTGGGGTTTTCATTTTTATTACACGATGTTATTCCTTCACCGTGGACGTCGATCAAGAAAATGTATTAAGTATGTATTTCATTGGAAAAATTACTACTTACTTGCCAGTACTTGCCAGCGGGATTCGAACACCGGTGCGTCGTGCTAAATACGAATGCACCGAACGTTTTAACCTTTTGGCCACGACGACTTATGTATTAAAATATGTAATTATTTATATAAATGTATTGTATTAATATCTATGTAAAAAATAATAGGGGACACATGGTTAAGCTAGAGCTCCCTGTGCTATGGGAACCAGAGACTGATTTATTAAATTACATAATTTTAAATAAATGCATAACATAAAGATATCAGAGTAAAAAAAGCCCCTAACATGAATGTTGCTGACGGAATCGAACCCACGGCCACAGTTCAGGAGTCAGGGGTGCTAGTAACTGTGCTACCGAGCTAGGCAATGACAGAGCATGTCTTAATTTATGCTTTGGATATAAGACAAATCTCCATTGCATAGGATTAACTGGTGTAGCAATCAATCTTGGACCGCAGGTCGTTTTCAGGTAAAATACACCGTATAGTATTATTACTGCACTATCCTAGTGTGGCGGGGCAATTATATTTCGTTACTAGAGGTTGGTAAATTCCATCCTCAATCAGTGATTGTTGAAAGTCATGACACTCTTCATAAATTACTCATTATTAGTATTAGTAGGTACATTATAAACATATGAGGATTTCGTAATCGATATGGACTATGAAGAAATAATATGATCACTCAAATTTTGAAAAATTTTGGGGACACCAAAAAGCAGTGGAAAGAGTTTGGCTGTACTTCTGGTATTGCTCATGTCCGTGGGCGACGGCCACCGCTCATTATTATCTGATTCATAGAAATGGCAGATGTACACCGACGTTAGAAAACACGCTAATTACATTTAGCGTTGTATTACATAAATAGATGAATATATAATTTTAAAGAGAAACAAGAGGCAAAAATTGAAAATAATTCATTCAAAACAACTTACAAATTCAATCTTAAAAAACAAATCAAAATAACTAGATCATTACAAACAATAAACCACATATAAAATAAATTCAAAGGGCGGCTAGTTCTTTCTTCACGATTGCAAAGTACTCGGCCGTGACAGCGTTGACGTCAAAGGGTACCTCGGGCTCCGTGAGCGAGGCGCGCGGCGAGCCCTCCTCGGCCTGACGCATCTTCAATCTAATCTCACGCATGCGAGCCTCCAGAATACGCTCCCTTTTACTCTCCCGTTCCAATACCTAATCGTACAAATATCAAACTTTTTTTTTTGCTTTGATGGGTGGACCAGCTCACAGCCCACCTGGTGTTAAGTGGTTACTGGAGCCCATAGACATCTACGACGTGAATGCGCCACCCACCTTGAGATATAAGTTCTAAAGTCTCAAGTACAACAACAGCTGCTCCGCCCTTCAAACCGAAACGCATTACTGGTTCACGGCAGAAATAAGCAGGGTGGTGGTACCTACCCGTGCAGACTCACAAGAGGTCCTACCATCAGTAAAATATCGAACTGTTAACAATAGATCCCAGACTACGTCTACGTGTACTTGAGGCTCACTGAAGACCCAAGAAGAGTAGACGCAATCATTGTCAGATTATTTGCTAAAGTATGGTATCAAGTATGGGGGCTCCTTTAAGGTGAGAGCATCTTAATGATTATAGTTTGCAGTGGGAATGTTTCCAATTTTGGTATCTGCATTAATCTTAACAGAACGATCCCCATTTGCATCTGCAATAAATTGATGTAGAACTCATGTCGTATTTAAAATAATATAAATCTAGTATATTGTGCAGATCTGTGGCGCCTGAACACTTAAAGTTCTGCGTCAACATTTAGTAGTGCAATATTAATGTACGAATTTTTGCGAAACAACATTGTAAATAAAAAAGCAGTACAAGTAAATTGCTCTTAGTTAATTAATATAGTTTTACTTATTTCACTTTTTTAGTACAAGATGACTGCTGTAACGGGGTAATTAAAACTACATCTCGTGTCAAGGGTTGCTGTGGAAGTCATGTCGTAGTATCTATGCTTCAGTAACCGGCTAACTTCAGGTCGGTAGACATTATTTCGGTACAAATTTACGGTACAAATTTAAAGCGGCAGATATTCGCGTGCCTTTGTTTGTCAATAATGTGGACAAGACTACATCAGAAAATGACATTGTAGATTATATTTATAACAAAACGCAAGTTCGTGTCATGTTACACAAAATAAAATCTAAAGTACAGAGGCAGTACAGCGCATATAAAATGCTTGTACCTAATGCGAAATTAACGCTGTTTCTAG